GACAGATGCAGTCTCCGAGACCTCCCTGCCCAACCATACAATGCGTCTATCTTTGTCAGAGACAGCCCACGCACTCAAGAGCACCCCCCAAATCCAGGCTGCCGTCCCCATGCACATTCTGGAGATCAGCGACAATACATTGCAGTTCAGGGAGAGGGTTTGATACATGAGCACATAATTAAGGATCACCCGTGACCTTAGCTGGGGTTTGAGGGTCCTCTCCCAGGGGCGCCCTCGGCAGCTCTGTTAGGGGAGGAGTGATGGTTGGGACCCTGACTTGTGCCCACAATTTAGAGGACATGAAACCTGATGATGTATTATGGGGAAGGCGTCCCAGCCAGGTTCCGGGGGGTGAGAGGTGCAGGTTGCCTGTCTGGGGTGAGAGAGCAGGGCCGGGGGTGGTCATCTCTGAGCGTCGGCCTCCCACCCGCGTGGGGCCGGCACAGCTTGGTGGCTCTGTTTGAGACGAAGTTCTCCCTCCAGCGGATGCCCTGCACACCCACAGCGCCCTCTTCCTGGAGGGCAGCTCCCAGGGAAGCCCGCCGATGGTGGACGCCCCCGCCTCGCCCCTTCAGGCCCCGCGGTCCCAGCGCCCGGGGCGGAGGATGAGCCAGGGCAGCTTGCACAGCGAGAGCTCCGAGTCCTCAGACAGCCTGGCACCCATCGGCGCCTCCTGCAGTGAGTGAGGGTCATCTGGGGGTCTCCCTGGGTTCAAGGGAGAGGGACCCACCTCTGGGCGGCCACTGGTCCACCGCCAGAGCTGCTGAGGGCGGAGAGGAGGGGTAGCTGAAATCACACTGAACTCTGACCTCAGAGAGAACTTTGACCCTGACTGTGGCAAGAGCCATGACCCCTCCTGGCACAAACTGAGTTCTGACCTCGGCCAGAGCCCTGATGCCAACATTCAGTTTCCCCACTGGGAATCCTGCTGACCGGCAGCCCGGGGGTGGGACCATGGACGCCTCCGTGGGTCCCCATTCCTGGGGACCACCCTGCGGCACATGTCCTAGAGGAGGGGTGGGTGGGAGCGGGGGGGAAATCCATGTCCCAGAGCTCATTGTGAGCTGGTGCCGGCCTTGCACTTGCGCCCCGAGTGGGACGTCCACCACTGCGCCTGTGCACGGGTCCCACACTGCCCCCTGGGTCCAGTCTGCTCTGTCCTCACCTCCCTCTCGACCCCACAGTCACGGCCAAGTGGTGGGGTGCCAAGCGCATCGACTACGCCCTGTACTGCCCCGAGGTCCTCACCGCCTTCCCCACTGTGGCGCTGCCCCACCTCTTCCACGCCAGCTACTGGGAGTCCACGGACGTGGTGGCCTTCATCCTGAGACAGGTACTCCGCCCCTCAGGGCCCGCTGCAGGCTCCTGCCCTTCTGTGTCTGGAGAAGAGCTGGCCCTGCGGGCCGCGCCGGCCGCTGGGAAGTCCTTGCAGCACTCAGCCAGGTGGGAGGGCGACAGTCAGACAACGGGCTTCATAAGGAGCCTGGTACTTTCTAGAAAGGGAGATAGAAACTACATGGGAGAATGTACCCAAGTTTCAACTTGGAGGCCGGAGTAATAGAGACCTGCTCTCTGTGTGTCTCTGTGCCCTGGTCTGTAGGTGGCACAGGCCAGTGAGTGGGGAGAGCTGGGGGAGGAGGTGGAGAGGTAGGGGGCGGGCCCCGGTCACACACAGCCTAGATGGCCAAGGTCAGGAGTTTGATGCTATGCAGGGTCCAATCAGGAGCCATGGCGGAGT